GCATTGACAGTATTTTCCTAGAGCAGACATTTCGTGTATTTCATTGTACTGAGAGTATTTTCTTCATCAGATCGTTGACTGTTTTACTTGCTTCCTAGCCTGTACTCCGCTACCCACTCGACCAGTCCCGGTGTACAGTCTCAAACACATGTACTCACACATACACAAATATAAACACTGACTAGTGTAATAAGCTACAATTTTACTTTTTGTAATATTTTTTAACTGGTAAGTTGCTAAGACATTGATTGTTAACTGTCATTTACTCTCTTGCACTTTAACATTTTGTTGTGTTTTCATCATTAGTTTTTTTGTTCTGCTGTGTGTTTGTTATTACCTCGCATAGTGCTAACTTGCTTTTTTTTTTTTTTTTCACTGGTACATTTGCACTTTACGGTTGCTGGCAATGTCTAGCCAACGTGAAAACTGGCTCATTAAAGTTGGTCTTAGATTATGTCATCTTAATATATGTCATTCAAGGGGTAAACTGCCTAAATTATCTCTTATCCTTATTAAAAATTGTCATATATTTGGTCTTACCGAGAGTCGATTAAATGAATACATCTCAGATGATGGTGTATCGATAAATGGTTATAGAAGTGATCCAAAAAAGAAACAAGAGACAGGTATTGCGGTCTACATATGTAGTTTATTTAATGTTTTCCGTAGGCTAGACTTAGAGACTAGTGAGATGGAATGTGTTTGACTAGAGTTAAAACTACAAAATCGCCAACCACGAGTAGTTGGTTATCTTTAAAGAAACCCCAGCGCTGGAAACATGATAGGAAAACTTCACTGCCATAATGGATTTGGTGTTTACGATGAATAGAGAAATCATACTTCCTAGGGACTTCAGTATTGATTCACAAAAGTCTAACAACACATAGGAGAATATTGTTGTATCATACAGCCTCGAACAACAAGTTAAAACAACCTACTATAGTAACTAAATTATCTTCGACACTTATTCAAGATAATGCTCGCTCAGAAAATTTGATCATTTAAACAGACGGTTTTGTGTCAAGAGGCAAAAGAAGTGCTTGGGGTTTCTTAACAAATGGTCGACGTTTGGTGAGGGAGAGCCTAGCATATGATACCACAACATCCAGTTTACGAACTGAGGTGAAGGCGGTCACTGCAGTTTTCCGCTAGTTAGAGAACACGACACAGACGCACACACACACAACACACACACACACACACACACACACACACATCGTGATTGTAACTGGCTCAGAAAGCATGCTGATGAAGACCACGACAACCATGTTTTGTGCAGAATTGCATCCCTCGCTGCGGAGGACGCGGGGGAAGAGTATTGTCTATTTTTTTCAACGGGGTACGCCGGTATGTTGGGAAATGAACAGGTGGACAGACTGGCTTGCTCTGCACAACTTGGTGGAATACTGATACATGATAATGCAGACGGGGTTACTGCCTTGTGGGAGAGCGTGTACAGTTTGGAGGAGCAGATTGATCACCACATTCTGGGGATATTGATGCAGGCAAAAAGTGACTAGAGTTTCTGGCAGATGCTCGAGGCTCAGAGGAAAGGCAAGACAACGTTTAATCAGAATGCTGCAGGCACCATTAGAATCGGAACTCTTCGCTGGCTGCTCAAGATGGGGACTGAACGCCAATGGGAATGTCCTGAGTGATGTGATGTCGGTTCTTGAATCAGATCAAATTTAATGAAATCTTCAACACTTATAAATTACATTTATGCAACTTGTCCTGATAATATAGTAGAATGCAAGGTTCCCACCACTGCAACGTCCGATCATTTTCTAATTTGCCTTACACGGTCGACTAAAGTTCCAAAACATAAACATATAAGCATAAAATTGAGTAGCTATTACAATTTTAATCAAGAGGCATTTCTACTAGATTTGCTAAGTTCACCCCTTGACCACGTGTATCAACTCCCTGATCCGGATGATGCTCTGAAATATTAGCTGAAGACCTTCCTTTTTTGTGTTTTTTAAACATGATCCAGGAAAGGTGGTCCGTGTGAAACGTCAGACTAAGTCACTAATGGATCACCCAGGAAGTAGTCGACCTTATGAGAGAACGAGATAGGGCACACAAAGATAAGAACTTAGTTACGAATTTGCATTTGCATAACAAAGCACTGTATGCTATTCGTAATCAGAAAAATAACTATTTTAGAAGCCTAGTAACAAATAAAAGAAACAAAGCGGGTATATGGAATGCAAATAACACACTGACAAACAAAAGCACTTCAACAAGTGTGGTAACATCTAATATAACATCTGATTATTTCAGTAATTACTTTTAGGAAGACATATAGCGGATACCAAGCTATCATTGTGCTTTATCCATATTGTCAATTTTTTGTGAGAATTAATGCTTCAGAGATTGCCTCACTGACATACCTCTGATGTCAGTCAATGATGATTTTAGATATCTCGCTAATCTTAAGAACAGTAGTGCATCAGGCCTAGATGGTGTAAGCAATAGGATCCTTCGTTGTACTGCATCAGTTATATGCAAGTCATTAACCTTTATTTACAACCAATGCATCGCCAAGGGTTACTTTCCACCAGCCTTTGCAATTGCCGAAGTCTATCCTCATCTAAAATCTAGATCATTAGAGTGTAGTATCCCAAGTAGCTATAGACTTATCTCTCTGCTATCACACTATCGAAACGACTAGAAAAACACATTCATAAAATATCACTAAAAAATGTAGATCATAACAAACTTATTGATGACAACCGGTCAGGGTTTCGACAAAAATATTCTTGCCATACGTCCTTTACAAATATGAATGAAAACTGACATGACAATTTTAACGAAGATAAGATATGTGGTGAAGTGTTTATAGACTTTAAAAAAGGCCTTCGACTTTATAGACCACACTATTATTATCAGAAAGCTAGTAACAATGAAAGGGAGTTCCAACCTATTAACATTGCTAACATTTTTTTTTAATAAATAGAAAAAAAAAAAGATGATTTACACAATAAATCCATATCACAGGCTACTACTTTAAATACTTGAGTTTTCTAGTGTTCTATTCTTGGCCTCCTGCTATTTGAAATTTACATAAATGATCTGCCCTTATGTCTGTCTTCGACGTGCGATTTTTTTGCTAATGACTGTACCATCAATACAAAGATCGAACCTGTAATGTACTTGCAACAAGAAATAAACAATGCAGTTAGTTGGAGCTACGTAAAGTGCATGCACATCAACATTAGTAAGACACAATCTATGTTAATAGCAAAGAGACTAAAACTGCACTTTAAATTATCATAGAATCCTTCAACGTTACATAAGTAACAACCCAGTAGAAAGTGTAAATGAACACAAAGCTTTAGGCCTCATTATCGATGAAAATCTTACCTTAAACTTTCATGTGCAAGCACTTGTTAAGCAAATTGCTATAAAGGTATACAAACTAGCAGAAAGTACAAATTTTCTGGATGAAAACACTTAGAAATATTCTATACTTCTTATAGTCAGACCCACAAAGACTATTGCTCCGCAATATGGGATGTATATGCACATTCAGTCATCAAACGACTGAAAGCACTTCAAAGAAGGGCTGCTCGTTTAATAGCTAATAGTCACGGAAGTGACTGTTCGCACCTGTATAAAGAACTTATGCTATTACCGCTCCAGGAACGCCCATTATTCAATAAAGCAAAACTTTTTCATAAAATCATATCTAAAAGTACTCTATGCTGAATTTTGCCATTATTTAAATACAATAGGAGGCATAGTAAACACCTTAACATATTGCATACCTCTAAACCTAGAATAGACCTATACAAAACAAGCTTAGCGTACTTTGCAGCTCAGCTGTGTAATCATCTGTCAAAGGAAATCAGAAATATCAATAACCCCTACACATACAGACGGAAACTGCCCCCTTTAAAGATCACGGTATGTTAACTCCTTGAGTCCCAAGGAATGCGTCATATGTTCACGTGTTCCTACCTAGAAGCCTAATGCACGCATGATACGCTGATTTTATGTCTCTTCTTACTACCCCTTGGGCCTGTGATGCTACACCCTCTAGGACTCATAGAGTTAAAGGCTTTGATTTATTTCCATCGTGCGTCTTATTTACCTTTTTTTTTTTTTGTTCGTTTAAAAAATGAAGGTTATTATTATTATTTAAAAATGAAGTTCCAGTCGAACGCATACCATTGTTTGCAACTAATATTTGATTGACATTGATGATGTTTATATTATGCAACCTGTAAGACTTATATCATTTTTGGAATTGTCCAATTACTATACTCTTGAAAACGTTTAGTCATGTCAGCATAATTAAACCAAATTTTCACATTTATATTTAAGACTTGAATGTTGCATCCTTTTTTTTTTTTTTTTAAATTCCTAATTTTATTATTTTTTGTTTGTTCTCTATAAAATATGGTACACATGAATAATTGTATGCACGACACGGAGTGGAAGGGCATAATGTTAGACGGGCCTGCGTGCCCAATTCTTAACCCTTTAAAAATAAAGTTCTATCTATCTATCTATCTATCTATCTATCTATCTATCTATCTATCTATCTATCTATCTATCTATCTATCTATCTATCTATCTATCTATCTATCTATCTATCTATCTATCTATCTGTCTGTCTGTCTGTCTGTCTGTCTGTCTGTCTGTCTGTCTGTCTGTCTGTCTGTCTGTCTATGTGTCGTGTATGTTAGAGAGTGAGACTGTCTATCTTCTGTCTATCCATTTTTGTGTCTGCCTGAATGTCAATTTGACAAAGGGGTTGTAAGTCTGTCTGTCAGTTCTGTTGACACTCTTCAGTTATCTCGGTAAATATCTTTTCTCACCATCTCCTCTCTCTATCTCTCTCTCTCTCTCTCTCTCTCTCTCTCTCTCTCTCTCTCTCTCTCTCTCTCTCTCTCTCTCTCAGATTCTAAAAACCCTGTTCCCCCCCCTGTACCTAAAATCTAACAAAACACACCCTTATAACATTTTTGGATTGTAATTTCTCATATCAGCGCCAGCGAAAAGCACCAGCTTGGAAGCGACTCTGTGCTTGCTGCTGTCAGTTGTAACGGAGATGTACTCTGGTATCCACCATTCTATCTGGAGAGCACGTGTAAGGTAGAAGCCTCTTAATATGTGAATGATCAAATCCTAATATAGACTCAGCCTCTACAGTGTGGTATAGCAGGTGCGATGAGACAGCGTCTGGTCGAACGGTTGGAACCCTGTGCTCTTTAACGGGGGACCATATTTCGAATCCTCCATAAGGTTGGGTATTTTGTTGTTGTTGCTGTTGTTGGGGGCAATAATAAAATTCTCACCTGCACAGTTCGTGGCGACAGAACTAGCAACGCGGTCGTAAATCCTCAGGCTGAAAGATCCGCTGGCTGCATCGCAAAAGTGGTATAATATAGGGGTGGCGGAAGACGTTCAACTGCCTTACACATTTTCTAAGGCGTTTTAGTCCTCAATGGCGGTACGCTTTGTTTAACAACCTAATAATAATAATATTATTTGCTAAATATAAAATGTATTTAATATATTTGGAACGGGGTGGAAAAGGGGGGGGGGGGAGGGGCGGAGAAACGACAAGCATATATAAAGTCGTTGGCGACGGAACCAAACATTTTCGAATATAAAGTGGTCAGAGAAAAATGACAACAGAAAGCTTGAAACGATGGTCCACATTTCCAACATACAGGACTCATCTGGCATATAGCTGGTTACTTCCTCTTGAGCCTAGTGAGGCGTCTAGGGTACATGTCATAGCTCTCCAAGTCTGGCGGTTCGTTCCACCTGTTTTAGGTCTTAGACGTTTATTGGACCATGGTTGAGTCTTCTCAGACAGAAAGATGTTTTTTCACTTCTCGTCCTTTTTAGGATGAATTTTTCGTTATTTGAAGCCCCACTTTGGCTCTTGCCAGGGGCCGCAATATAGCCTGGCCATAAATATGACCTAAATGCTGAACGCGGTTTCTTGGACCTCTCCACGGTGATCCTCACCCGCATGGTGGCACATTGTGTAATCGGGTGTTTATCGCTTGTGTGATGTCCTGGTGGGGTAGAAAGTCAGTCAGTCAGTCTTCTCTGATGATTGTTCGACTCAGGATCTCTCTTGGTCTTCCAGTTTTTTTTTCCTGCCGGTGTCCATAAAAGGGCTTAATAGTGGTGTCTTGTCATATCCATTTTGAGTGCATTGACGATGTGCTGGCCTTATATATTATTAGTCAAATCCTCACTCGATGACTAATTGGATCAACAATATGCCGGACAGCTTCCCTATTCAAGACATTTCCCGGTACCAAATTTTAGCTCGAATCGAGCTATAAGGTTATGATGAAAATATGCGTCGGTACGACAGCAAATATTTCCATATTGTCAATATCATCATCATCATCCTCGTCGTCATCGTCGTTCGTCGTTATCGTCGCCATCTTGTTGTGATGTGTCAGGTCATCGGCTTTGTAATTTTTGTTGTCTTTCACGTCTTGCTATACTGTTTATTTCAATATCATGGAAAAAATCTTGCCCAGCACACTGGTCCTTTCTCGTCAACATTTGTCTAAAGAATTCTTTGGGAGGAGTGGGGGAGGGGGTGGGGGGGGGGGGGGAGCGTCCTCGTTTCCTCACTTCCTTTGTTTCTATTTCAGTGTCTGTTCGGTGATTTTCTGTTTCCTTCTCCTTAGATGTGGTCAGTATATCACCGTCTTCTTTGGCTTATAACTGTTATAACCATCAGCTGTCCAACCCTGGACAACTTTTATTTCTTAGAATTTGATATATTCATCCCATTTAATGCTCTTCAAATTCCTCATGCATATTTACAGTATGTATGTTTTTGGCAGCTGGACATGTCAAAGTATCCCTTTGATGTCAGCGTTTGTCCTGTTGAAATTTACTCCTGGATGCAAGATAACACCACGATCGTTGTGAGTAATACTGCCATCATTCATTACTATTATCTCGTGCGACTTTTCTTTAGTATAATTTAGAGATCTGTATGTATTTATCTTTTAATATGTGCAGCTTTGGGTTTAAGACGTTAGTGAATGCGTTTAACAATTTTTTTATCATTGAGTACTAGCCTGAATTTTACTGCTCTGGTATTTTTACGGTCAGGGGTACGAGAGTCATACCGGGGAAGATATGATGGTCTCACAGCGTAATACTAACATTAACAGTGGATGCACAATAACTGTTCTTCATTGTGGAGACTGCACAGACCACCTTTATAATAAATATAAATTTTACCAATTTTCATACTTTTTTTGTTTTCGAGACATGTTTTTAAGTTCCACTCAGATATCTTAACTCATTTATCAGCTGTTTGAATTTTACAAATGTTCATGCTGTTTAAGATATATGCTTACATGTATTTGCAGTTATTGTTAAGGACTGCTTACGTCATCTAACAGCCAAACAGAGAAGCTGTGACACATTCAAAATAAGCCATAAGTGTAATTGTAATGTGTACACGAAATACTCCAATCGCATGCATGCGGCACACACTTGCATTGCAGTCTGAAAATTAATGATTAACGTGTTACGAGCAAAAATATACCGTAAAATCTCAACGGACAGGATACACCTTCTAAATTAAACCTTGAGGGATAGCAATTGTAATCGTTTTCAAATCCAGCTGCGACTCGCTGCAGCCCACGGTCGGTGTTTGAAACCGGGCGGTTCCCGGGGTTCACCGAGTCTCTAGGAAATGGGTACCAGAGTTGACACTCTGGAGTAAATGGAGGAACGTCGCTGTATCTACTGACTTTCGTGAGGTCGGCGACACAGGCCTAGTTTTTATCAGCTGTCCATACTAATTGCTGAGCACTTATGATTTATAACCGTGTGCAATGACGCTGGTTCACATCTCCCGACTTTACCTTTTTCAAGAAAAGATATAAACTGAACGAAAAGTAATCGATTGAGAAAAGGTTTCTCCAAGAGGGCAGAAGTCAGAAGGTTGTATGCTTCTGACAAGATAGCAGCATAGTGTGGAATGGGTTACAGGGTCGCCCAGCAAATCAGACTTCCGCAGAGTGATAGTTACTTTGGATCGCAAGGGCCGGGGTGAAAAGGTGGTAAAATAGAGTCATCGGTGCAAGAGCTAATCAATGAAAATTAACTCTAAGGAAATATCGATATATTTACAGATGAAGTTGTGAGAGACAGAAAGAGTAGGTGGTGTTTTATTGTAAAGGTGAATGGATAAAGAAACAGGATAACCTCGTGCAAAACGTCACAACATCCAGTTTGAAAGCCCTGTGCTTGTGCACTGTGCTGAGCTTCATCGGACTCAGACTTGAAGAAGAACCAAACACGTATGGGTTACTATCTGTGTGCCAAGATGTTGATCCGTTATTTCAACTTCAAACTTCATCCAGTCTGAGAATGGAGGTGGAGGTAGTAACAGCATATTTCCATTGGCTGAAGAGTAGCACAGCCCAACATGTGGTAACTGTAACGGACTCACAGAGCATGCTTCGGAAAATATAAACTGGCCGTCCTACGCATCGCTTGTTATGACTAAGATCAGGAGCATAGGATGTATTTTTCTGTCACGGAACTTCACGTGTGTGTGTGTGTGTGTGTGTGGGGGGGGGGGGGGGTAATGAGCAGGCTGATAGATTGGCTGCTGCAGCTTCTCTTGGTGGGGAAGTAAACAGTGTAACAGAACAGACGTAGCATTCATACATTGACATACTTCTTCAAAGGGAGCTGAGTATGAGTCTAGACGATATTTAACAATGAGGGAAAAACATAGGCGAACTTTAAGTCAGGTTGCAGTTGGTACTATTGGTGTATCGACTCTTCTTTGGCTACTGTGGAATGAGACGGAGCACTTATCTGAAAGGTCCGAGTGCTGGGATATCAATTATTTATGCATGCATTCATTCATTGTCTTTGCAGTAGTCACTTAGAGATCTGAATGCATTGATCCAGCTCTGTCTAACTTTAGTTTCAGAAATCTGACCACCCAGTTAACTTGTGGACCATGCTGGTGAACGAAGTGTATGAGATTTCGTCTGCAGGCTCAGAAAAGATCACACATGCATTCGACAATCTCTTCTTTGATTCGATCACATTCAAGATTAGGTTGGCCAGACGTCCTACGTATGTGGCAATAAGGTAATCAACTTATAATCAAAATTTTTTTTTACAAACACACACAAGCACAGAAACACACACACAAGCACAGAAAGACAGACAGACACAGAAACAGACTGACAATGAAACGACAAAGCAAGGCATCGACAACTGCAAAATTTAACTTTAGAGGGAGTTTTTTTAGTACACGAACTACTGTACAGTTTCTTATTTATTTACAAGAAATAAGTCACTTTACGGTTTCCGACAAATTTACAAGAAAAAAAAAAAACGTCTTTATAGTTAGGTGTTGACTAGTTTACAAGCAAATTAGGTCACTCTGTAGTTTACGATTGACTGAGAACAACAACCATAAACGAATAAAATCAAAAACAAAATGTTTAGTAATTGTTTAATTTGTGTTCCCCTCTGTGTTCCGGGCTCCATTGGGGGAGGGGGTGTGGGGGGGGGGGGGTGGACAAGAAAAGACTCACTGCCTCCCCAACAAGCATGTCTTAAGAGTCGACTAATTGGGAGCTTCCTTAGAAGTCGGAGTACATCTGCCTGAGAGGCAAGGAAACAACAGTCTGCATACAAATGAGTCAGAAATGTAAAACGGTTATCCACGCATCATTCAAGTTCTGGAACAGACTAGGGTTCAGAAGTGAACGAACAACAAGAATTTTACAGCCGATGAACGAGGGAAAACAAATGTACAAGAAGGTGAGACATGTCAGAAGGTGAAACCAATGACTAAATATAGAAACACTAAGGCACTGCTTGTTATTCAGTGGCAACAGGCGAGAATATAAAGAAGACGTCAAAGAGAATTTCAAATAGATGTACAGGTCCTTTGGAGAACATCGCTTTCTTCACGGCACGCCCGAACGTCTCTCTTTTTCTAGCCAATTCTCCAGCCCTGTGTGCTTGGAAGTCAATGCATCTTCAGACTCTTCGCTGTGGTCGGCCTCTGCATCATTTTAAACATTATACGAATGAACGGGATTTCCAGACCTCTCCACGGGTGATCCTCATCCTATTGTGGCACTTTGTGTCACCAGGTGTTAATCGCTTGTGTGATGTCCTGGTGGGGTACAACTTACCTAGCTATCACTCGCTCAGTATTAAATATCAAAGAATGAATGTCAACATTTTTAGTCTCACAAGGTCCTTGCTAATGTCTAAGGGAGTTAGGAACGGCAGTACTAAACTCATAGGTATATTACTTTCAGAGGGTCTAAATATACAATACAACCCTTGAAGAAAACAAATATGTTTTAAAGTTTTTTCACAGTCCTGCACAAGCACAGAATGTATAAACATACATAAGATGTTGCCTGGTACATGCAAATAATACACAATCACATATAGTGCGTCGTTTGGGACATAAAGATTCAACTGCTGTCAGATCACACACATTGCAACGAGTCAATGTATTTTTAACATTCAAGAGATTGAAACAAAGTTTACGGAAAATGTCAAGCACTGTTATTTATATTGTGCATTGTCTTTGTTTTGTTAAATTGAAGTTGATTGATGTATCAGATTCCAGCATTTTCAAATATTTATGTATGCATTACTAAACGTGTTAACGCTTACTTGCGGCCCGAAGGTTGTGGGTTCAAATCCGCGTCGAAGCGGAATGTTTTCAAAAATGACCATGGCTATCAAGTCGACCCAGCGTAAAATGGGTATGATGGAAATTTCTGAAAAGAAAAAGCGGCCGGCAGGATGTTGACCACGTCATCCACAGGAGTACCAATTGATGAATCAAATGTATGTCTAAAACGGCATGCCCAATACGCTTAATTGCGTGGAAAAGGGTCCTTTATTAGATGTGAAAAAATAGAATGCGAAGCATACATTCTGTACCCTCATGAAAACAGAATCGAGTAAGAATATTGTAAGGTACATGTACGTGGGTGGAAAAAATGTTACAGGAAAGTCGAATGCCTTTACTCAGAACTTTAAAAACTGTGTTCTTTTAAATGTAAACTTAGTGATACTTTCAAGTGAGACACTTCACTTCTGACGACGGCATCTGAAAATGACAGCAAACACTAGTTTTCTGATACCAGTCAAACTGAGTATTTTGAGGCTGTTTTGAGTAAATTGTCATTCATCACGCCTTGGTTGCTAAGTTTGTTATTAAGGAGCCACCGTGGTGTAGCGGCTAGACGCTTGTCTGTGGATCCGTAGGTCATGGGTTTAGCTGGGCTATTGTTTCTTTCTTTGAAAAGTTATCTTGGCTCACAGGTCGATTCAGTCTTAAATGGGTACCAGCTAAAGTCATTGAAAGTAAAAGTGGCCGGCGTTATACTGGCCACATCAAGTGCCAGTTGTTTGTTTATAAAATATAGGTTAACAACTATATACCCAATACGCCTAATGGCATGAAAAGAGGCGATTTACTAAATATGTGAAAATGGAATACGTCACATGTCTTCTGTACCGCCATAAAACAATCGAGTTACTATATTGCAAAGCACATGAGCGTGGATGATAAACAATATACAAGGAAAGTTGACTGCTTTAAAAAAAAATTAAAACAATCTGTTTTGTTAAATGCAAACTGAATGATGCATTACATTGGTCTCCTTTACTTCTAAAGATGACCTTTCTCTGTCCACCAGTTTGCTGATACCAGTCAATTTGCTGGCTATCTTGAGTATAATGTCATTCATCATGCCACCTGACGAACAAGAGAAGGTCAACATTTCAGTCACAATTTTGCTGTCCTTCACTGTGTTTTTGACTTTTATTGACAGCAACATACCCCCAAATTCGGACAATGTTTCTCTACTGTGTGAGTAAGAGCTTAATTCATCATTATCATCATCCTGTAACACTACGTGTTGTTGGGTCACAAGTTTCTGTTGACTGCCTGATCAGCTCTCCCCACCTTTGGCGTTCAGCTGCGATTGCCTTTATGGTTGCATACCTCAGGCCTGTCCAGTCAGTCAGTTTCTGTAGTCAGGTCTTTCTTGGTCTTCCTCTTCTCCTGTTTTCCTCTACTGAAAAGTAAAGGACCATTTCTGGAATTTTGGATACTTAGGGCCAGACTGATATGTTATAGACCAATGGCAGAGGATGGGTGATGTGGTCAGCATCACGCCAGCTGCCTTTACTTCCCAGGACTGCAACCGGTGCTTAAGGCTGGGTCGACCTGGGAGCAAAGGTAATTTTTTGAAAAAAGTTAGGCTCCACCAGAAAGCGAACTCACGACCTTACGATCCGCAGGCTAGCGTCTTGCAGCCCGGCCATGGCGACTCTCTTTCCCTCTACTAAGCACTGCAGTATTGTTTTTGATAGACCGTTAGATCTTATTACATTCGCCTTTTCACTGTAGTTTTAAGAGGTTCATAATTACGAATGTGCTGTATAACTATATGGTAAACCTCTTCCTATGTAATGTGGTCTCTGTATGATTTGCGAAGAATTTGTCTGAAACATCGCATTTCAAATGCTTGTATCTTCCTTTCGATTTCAGCTGTTTGAGGTCCATGTTTCACAGCCATATGTAAAACTTCTAGTGCTCTGAGCAATCAAATCTTAGTTTGGCATGAAAAGTGTTTGATCTTCATAATGTTTTTTGTTTTGGCAAGGACTGTCAGGTGTGGTCACGTCTAGTACTGCAGCCAGCAGTGTTGGGTGCGGCTAGCTCTCCTAGCAGGGTGATAGGTGACAATTAGAAGCCTGCTGCTGTCCCGTGATAGCACAAGTCAACCCCACCTCCCCGTGGTGCAGACTGGACACTGTATCTGTGAGGATACAGGCTAACGAGGAAATGGCCTTCTGGAGAGGAGTGGGCACCGCCAGGGTTGAAATACTGCCCAAGACACACTATCATTAACATCATCATCATCCTTAAGTGTCTTGTTATCTGGCGTAGGCGTTTATGCATTGCCACAGATCTCGGTCTCTGGTGCTCTGGATCAACTCTACTGATGATATACCTACATGACACCCTCTTAAGCCATCCACCATCATTTCTCTTGGTCTGCCTCTGCCTCTTCTACCAGTAATCTTTCCAGTGCTCCTTTTCTCATTACATGGCCAAAGAACTGTGTCTCCTTCTGATTGTTGTATATAAACCTCTACTTTCACTAGCTATTTCCAGGCATTCAATATTGGTTATTCAAGAAGTCCAAAGTATTCACAACATTCTTCTCAAGAACCACATGTCAGTTGCCTCCAAACTCTTCTTAGTTTGTTTGCTCACATTCTATGTTCACTACCATACAACAGAACAGGTTTGATATAACATTTCAATACTGGTTTCTGATTTTTAATTAGAGTGATTTATTACATAAAAAAACTTTTCAACTTCTAAAATGCTGCCTTTGACTGGCCATTTCTGCTCATAATTTCTCTGACACGTCGACCATGTAGTGTTATAAATGTTCCCAAATACGTAAATTTATTGTTTTGGTTAAGCACTTTCCCTTCCTTTGGTAGGACACATTGTGGAGGTATTCTCTTTGTTATAACAATTGTTTCTTTTGTTTTTTCCTGACATTCAAAGAGAGTCCCTTTTTACACTCTCTAGGACTATAATGTCTAAAAGTTGTAGGTCTTCTGCGTTTTCATCTATTAATACAGTATCATCTGCATATTGAAGATTGCTTCTTTTGTAACCTCCAACTAGTTCTGGTCTGTCCTTGACCTCTCTCATTATTATTTCGCTATAGAGAGAGAGAGAAGAGATCCGGTGACAAAACACACACTTATCTCACTCCTTGCTTTATCTGTTCATAACTGCCTACTATACTTCCCAATTTATTAGCTGCTTCTTGCTTCCAGTAAATATTTCTGAGATCTTTTCAATCTGTGTTAATATCCTCCAACAATTTTATCATTTCATCATGTTTCACTTTATCACAAGTTTTGGTATAATCTATGAAGCATAAGTGTATGTCTTTCTGTGTCTCCATTGATTACACATGTTCGCAATGTGCAAATTGCAGTATTTGTAACTTTCCATTCTTTAAAAACATACTGCTCCTCACTAATTTCAATTATTTTTTTCCTTCTTGTTCTTCTAATTATAATTCTGAGTGAGAGTAATGTGACATGGTTTATAAGGTTGATTGTACGAAATTCATCACATTAAATCGACCTATGTTTTCTAGGTAGTGCTATAAATACAGACTTCTACATATCATTATGTATTTTTCCATTGCTGTAAATATCATTCAACAGTTTGGTTAATATGTCAATTCCCAGTTCACCGAGTCCTTCTATTTCCTCTATTGTAACTAAATCTGGTCCGGCTGTTTTTCCTTTCTTCATATGTCTTCTTCTTCTTCTTCGCGTTCACCAGCTGTACATTCTGGCGGAAAGTTCTGGTTGTGCTGTTTTTTCTTTCTTCATATGTCTTCTTCTTCTTCTTCGCGTTCACCAGCTGTACATTCTGGCGGAAAGTTCTGGTTGTGCTGTTTTTTCTTTCTTCATATGTCTTCTTCTTCTTCTTCGCGTTCACCAGCTGTACATTCTGGCGGAAAGTTCTGGTTGATTTTTCTTTTATCATGGGCAGCCCTTCTAGGTTATTTTCTGTTGTTAAGTCTGTTCTGTCTCCATTATATAATTCGCGTACGTATTTATTTCATCTCTTTATTACGGAATCCATTAATACCTTTACTGTTTTTGTTTTTAAACATCATCTATTTATTTTTTTTTCTTACTGTCAAATCGCCGATTTGCATGTGCTACTTTTTGTATCTTAAATGGAATTTATTTCAATTTTGTTGCACTGCTCATTTAACCATTTTCCTTTGGCTCTTACACATTTAGCTATGATTTCTGTGTGTATCATGTTATACTCTTGTGTGTTTTGTGTGTGTTTGTTTATGCTTGTCCATCAATTTAAAGATTTCTTCAGTCATCCATTTCTTCTTAGCTTTTTGTTTCATTTCCAGAAACAGCTCTTTGATTGTTTGCTGAACAGAATATTTTAACATTTTCCATTGTTCATTTGTACTTTGAAGTTAAAGTATTGCATTGTATCTGTTTTTCACAATCACTCTCTTTTATTCTTGAATTACTTTATCCACCAGATGGATGTCTTTATTAAGTGTCATATTTTTAATATTTTTATTTTCTATATTCAATCTAATTTTTACTAGTCCACAAAGGGGAATGTGATCACTATTACAGTCAGCACTAGGCATTGTCTTTACTTTTATTAATGCATTTCTAAACCTTTTAATAATCATTATGTAATCAATTTGGTTGAAAGTTTTTTTATCATAACTTTTCAGTGTGTAAAGTCATCTCTTATGCTGTGTAAACTAGGTGTTTCCAATCACTATTTCGTTTGCTTTCACCCATTCTGTTGGTATTTCTCCCCTATTATTTATCGCACGAAAACCATAACCACCAACTGCATCTTTCATTTCATAGGCAGGCCAAACAAATTCTGGAATCCTCGGAGATGCTTAGAATACCTTGGACAGCCAAAAAGAACAACCAAAAGGTTTTGAAAGAGGCGGGAGCCCGAAGACAATTATCACAGACATTAGAAGGAGACAGTCATCATTTTTCGGCCATGTTACGAGAAGAGGGAAAATAGAACATTTTGAGACCACTGGAATGAAATGTGGAAGGAGAGATAGAGGAAGACAACGAGAGAAGATGCTTGACAGTCTTGTTGCAATGGAGGTGTGTCGGCACACGAACTAATACATGCTGCATGAGATCGCAGATTAAAAGAGAGGCATGATCGCCCACGCCAGTCGGCAAGGCACCTGATGATGATGATGATCTTTCATTATCTCTTTCCCTTCCTCTGCATTGAAGTCTCCAATTATTAAATTTCTTGTGGTTTCATTTGCGATAGTTCTCTTTCAGCATCATCATACAATCTTTATAGGTCTTCTTCATTGCTGTCTGTCTCTGTCATTGGTGCATATACTTGTATGATATTTATGTGTACTGACTTGGCTTCATTAAGCAGAGGAGCTGATTTAACTCGCTGCCTGTCATGTTATTGATCTGTACCTAATTCTTGGTGCTGGGATGGAGATTTTCGGTCAGGGGCAAAACAAATATCCTAGCCTGCATAGCTTGCGGCAGCTGCAGTAGACAAGCAGTTTTAAATATGAAGGTTCAGGACCACTATGCTTCTTCTTCTTCTTCTTCTTCTTCTTCTTCTTCTTCTTCTTCTTCTTCTTCTTCTTCTTCTTCTTCTTCTTCTTCTTCTTTTCTTCTTCTTCTTCTTCTTCTTCTTCTTCTTCTTCTTCTTCTTCTTCTTCTTCTTCTTCTTCTTCTTCTTCTTCTTCTTCTTCGTCTTCGTCGTCTTCTTCTTCTTCTTCTTCTTCTTCTTCTTCTTCTTCTTCTTCTTCTTCTTCTTCTTCTTCTTCTTCTTCTTCTTCTTCTTCTTCTTCTGCTTCTCGGCTCTCAAGCAGATGCACTCCGGCTTGGAAGGTAGCACCCCTAATTATTTGACTGTTATGATAGACAGTAGGTCTATTCTTGTTTTGTCCCTCCACAACTGGGCCCTGCAACGCACCTGGGTAGACCGTTATGCTACAAAACGTGGTAAATACATGCCGTTTATTGCACAGGAGTAGGAGGGGGAGGGGGGAGTTAGTGTGTCACAATGACCCAAAGATCTATGCTGACAGTAACGTAGCTGCCAACAATGACCTTCCACGCTAGGAGGATCAAAGAGTAGAGAACAAAGATATATATCCCTGTCCTCTAGATTAGAGGTTTTAGCTTGGCTTACTGGTGCCTTGATTGATTATAAAACAAGGGGAGATAATGCAAAGGTATGCCTACTAACGCTCGGAGTCACAAAATGGAGGGAGAAGGTCAATCACATAAGAAACTAACGAACGAACTTTATTTGGAAAGGGTCACAAATTGGACACGCAGGCCCGTCTTACATTAGGCCCTTTCAATTATCCATCTTTCGCACAGCAGTTGTATTTTACCAAAAAGGCATGTTATGATCCTATGATGATACGCATATTGTGAAATCATGAAAGAACATAAAAGAATGGGTTGTAAATGTCACCTTGCTAGTCATCCCCTTGTTGGATGCAATTGTTCTTTATTTTGAAGCTCAACCTATATGCAATATATCCCGACCATAAATATGGTCTAATGGTTGAACGCGGTTTCTAGAACCTCTCGAGTGATCCTCATCCACATGGTGGCACTTTGTGTCATCTGATGTTTATCGCTTGATGGATGTCCTAGTGGGGTAAAAGTTACTTACTTACTTACTGTGTTGTAAAATGCAGGCAAAAACCCGCGCGCGCTTTTACTATCTTATCGTCTCCATGTGGGATGCAATTTTTAGTTGTTTTTTTTCAAGCCCCACTCTGGCTTTGTCGTTAATTAAATATGGCCTAACTGCTGAACAGGGTTTCCTCATCCGCATGTTGGCACTTTGTGTCACCGTGTTTTTAATGATTGTGTGATGTTCTGGTGGGGTACAACTTACCTACCTACCTACCTACCTACCTACCTACCTACCTACCTACCTACCTACCTACCTACCTACCTACCTACCTACCTACCTCGTGCGCGCACACCCACCCACATACACATACCCACATACACATACCCACATACGCATACCCACATACACATACCCACATACACATAACCACATACACACACCCACATACACACACCCGCATACACACGCCCAAATACACATAACCACATACACACACCCACATACACATACCAACATACACATACCAACATACACATACCAACATACACACACCCACATTCACATAACCACATACACACACCCACATACACACACCCGCATACACACGCCCAAATACACATAACCACATACACACACCAACATACACACACCCACATACACACACCCACATACACATACCCACATACACACACCCATATACACACACCCACATACACACGCCTATCCACTTACTTACACACACATACATGCATACATACATACGTACATACATACATAATACATACATACAGGCATACATACAGGCATGCATGGAGACACACACATAACACACAGGGAGGCCCATAGACACACACGCAGACTCACACACCGACACACACAACAGAGACGAATGAAGGCTGGTGATATCCACATCAATGAACCTAACGTGCTCGGAATGCAGGAGAAAAAGACAAAAGATGATTATTTATGGTAAATTTAACGATTAACCGATACCAAATATGTTTTTATCGGTTATGACTAATATCGAATTTTTTTTTTTCAGTTATCTACATCTCATTGCTTTTGCTGATGTCGTTCCTGTCTGTAGTTGGCAACATTCTTGTCGTTACCACTAAATGTTGGAATGTGGGTACTCCGGAAGACTGCATAGGGTTATGCAGGGATGTCAAGAACATCAGTGAACCCCCCACGACAAAGGACATTTGTGGTTGCTCAAGCCCTCAGTATTTAACTCAGGAAAACAACATCGATTCGATTCAACCTGAAGGTGGTGAAAAAAGAAAATTTGTCTCAGAAAATCGTGAAAGTACTTATAAAAGTGTCAGCAGTTTTGCATTAAAATCGAATAGAGTATTCTTATTTGTAAGCTGCTTTTTGTATGTATTCATTACATGCTTGATGTTTGCATTAATTAGCAAGTAGTAAGCTGATTAAATTGGGTACATTAAAAACACGTATAAAAATATACTTCAAAAATATAAACACTATGTTCAACACTTGTACTTATAATTTCGCTTTTAAACATTTATTAAGGCTAGGCTAATTTGGGGCCTAAGGCCCATACTCTGTTTTTGCCTAGACCATTTGTTAGGCTGAAATCTCTTTTCTTTGTGTCGGTAAACCTCTCAGTTTGTATTACAGTTCGAGAATAGTACCATAAAGCAAGCAAATTCATGATTTGCTGCACTAAAGATTCAGAACAGTTCATTCTGTTGCAGCATAGTTCATTTTGTTTCTTCGAGCGGTTAAGGACAGAGAAATTGACTTTGATGAGTCCATTCACCCAGGCGAGCCAGAGCTACTGAGGTCTATGACCTCGCGGCCATTTTTTCCCAGTCAACACCACTTGGAGATCAACTCATTAGGCAAGTGTGCCAATTCTAAGAAACACACATGTATGTGTAGTATGTCCACATGTATGTAGTAGAAACTAAAAGAGCACTATAACACAATATTCTTGCCCACCCTGTATTATCAATATCAGACCTCGACAATGACAAAAAATGACAATGAAAAATTACAACTGAAATGAGATTTTGCGAAGGGTTCGTAGTATAATCAGAAGCGATGAGATCTGAAACGATGAAATCCAAAGGAAAATAGGGGCAACAGCAGCTCTAAATTTCATTAGAAGACAACAGGTAAAATATATATCAACATACAGTATACCACGGCACGCAATAATTTACAGACCAGGCGGGAAGCGAAGAAGAGGCAGAGGATGAACAGAGAAAATAACGAGCACATACACGGGTATTCTCCTGTAAATTGTACTTCACTTCGACATCACAAAGTATACAAAGGATCAAGCTAAGATGAAAGAGCAGCAGATGAAATAGTGTAGCCTACTAATGAGAACGGCCTGATACCAACGGCCACACATAGCTTGCGGAAGACCACAAAAAAAATGGAATGACGCCATCCATAACAGCCTATAAATAAACGAAGACCAACTTATGCAACGCGTTAGAAAGATCACACAGTACCTCCTTACACTCCTCCCCCAACCCCCTCAAATACTCCGATACGAGGTAACTAAAAGAACAGGAAAATAATAAGAGGAAGATACATTATACGAGAAGTCTAACTTTTATCTTTCATCAGCATGTATAAAATACATTGTATTAACACTTAATCATTACATTTTCAAAATTTTAAAGTATGTTATTAGACGAAGTAGAACTCCACAGCGGGAGCACACACATCAGGAGCCTACTGACCCTCAGTAGGTGGCCCGCCTTCAGCAATGGTTTCTGCCCGTTTTTCGCCTAGACAGTCTCGTGAAAAGTAGGTGGGGGGAACCTGGGTCATGACTTCCAGGTCTTGGTCAATCGGACAAGACGCTTTGGTGATTGCAACAGCTACTGGGTTAATGGTGATATATTCGTCTTTGCGTAGCAAATAAGGCGTCTGTCTGTACGATCATAATTGCAAACTGACGTTTGGTTATTTGGGTAGATGTCTATCAGACAGACGTTGGCAGCTGGCACTAGAACCGACAAACGCCAATCGGACAACTTTGGCTTAAGGGATTTAAAAGTTCTATTCCACCAGTCTACCGAGGCTTATCGCCCACGTCGTTCCGTTGTGAACCTAGCCAGCTCAAACCACTTTAAACAGCTTCACCCTGTTGCTGTAGTGTCCCTTTACGCTCGTTTCCTCGCAAGCCCAGATGCTTCAGTACATTGTATGTTTGGGAGGGGGAGGGCACGGGTTAAGACTGGCCCTTTCGCGTCTACCCCATCGAGTTTTACTGCGTACCCTTCATCGCTCCTCAGATTGATCACCAGATCACTGTCCTTTTCGAGGTGGTACATGTGTTGATCTTAGATTTGCGACTAGTGTGGCACGCTCAGCTCTATCAGGACGAGCTGACACTCTGCTTCTAAGTGCAACACCATGTCTGGCCTGAGGCCAGTATTTTGGTTTAGTTCGGGGTATCTCTTAAAGACAGCCAGGTCAAGCGCCAGTTTCCAGGCCCTCTCACAGTCGAGTATAGATGTAGTGTATGCGACTTTGTTAAATATATTTTTAAAAATCTGCCGAGCCATGAGAAAGCTCATGGGACCGGCCTTCGCGTTGGCCCTCATCCTGGGTTTGTACCCAGTATCGGCTAACTCTTTCAAGACTTTATTGTGGCGCAATGTGTACAGTCCCTGGCCTACGTCTTTTCTGCACGAGGACAATAGGTGCTCAAGCGTCTCCCTCGCTCCGCATAAGGAACATGTCAGGTCGTTGGTCGCACGCCATTTGACCAGGTTAGCGTCTGAGTGTAACACATCGTACGCAAATCTAGTGACAAAGCTCAGTCGCAGTGGAGCTATTCACCAAATCTGACACTAGGAGAGTTCTCATCGCAAGGTTCTCGCGAGGCCCAGCAACTAGTCTCGCTGTGGCTGCTAAGCTGCGTTTTCGGCGCTCCTGATCTGTTGTGTTACCAAGTCTCAACGCTCTTTGGACGAAACATTAGACCACATATGAATTTTCCCTGCCTTAGTCCGCGTCGGTCAGTTTGAGAGTAACGAACGACTTTTCTATAATTTTAGGTTTCTGAGCAGATTCTATTGCAACGGCCAATTTCTGTTTCCGCAGTCTTTAGCCCGGACTGGACAGCTTTGGCTTTGGAATCTGCAAACTCGCGCAACATCATCGCGAGTCTGGCGTTTCCCACTTTCAACTCTTCGGATATCGTCATGAAAGGAGGTACCAGCTTTGTCCGTTTACAGTACATAAAAACGTTAGTCAGACAAGGCGGTGCACAGAGCCTTATCCTTTTGCCAGTGTTGATTTTTATCTCCGTTGCTTATATTGCGCTTGCGCTAACCTCTACACCAGCAGCGGCCAGAGGAGCTTCGGAATCAACATAACTTAGAGAAAATGGACCTTGAACTTCCCGATCAACCATAGCTTTGACGACAATCCATAGGCGTTGTAGTAGAAATTTCGCGCATTAACCAAATGACGCAGCTGTTAATCAAATCCATGACCTCTCTAGGGCCGGCACATGTCTTGACCGTTTCGCCATAGAATCAACGGATTAATCCACACTCACACTCACACACACACACACACACACACACAAAACGAAAAACGGATGGGTACATAGAATGACAGAGTTGTCAAATAACCCGTTGCTCAAAGAAGAATCAAAAGCTTCATACATATATGTGTTGATTTACTTGATTTATAATACTTCAACATATAGTATAGTTTTTTCCTAAAATGTATATTTTCAAGTTTTCAATAATTCTTGATATTTTAAATTTACACTTGTAAATCAAGACTAATGAGTTATTTCATTAAAGTGATGTTAGCATGTGGTTTGAGTTGTGAATATTGTTATCTTTTAATTTAAAGATAGATAATATTCAGTCAGAGGCAACTTACACACAACATGGGCTATTCAATCAGGGATATTTTTCGACCCTCTAAAACCTTTTTTTTTTCTGTCTTCTTGTTTTCCTCATTTTCCCCTCCTTCTTCTTCTTTCTTCTTCTCGTCCTCCTCCTTTTCTCCTCCTCATCATCATTCTTTTTCTTTTTCTTCTTCTTCTTCTTCTTCTTCTTCTTCTTCTTCTTCTTCTTCTTCTTCTTCTTCTTCTTCTTCTTCTTCTTCTTCTTCTTCTTCTTCTTCTTCTTCTTCTTCTTCTTCTTCTTCTTCTTCTTCTTCTTCTTCTTCTTCTTCTTCTTCTTCTTCTTCTTCTTCTTCTTTTTTCTTCCTCTTCTTCTTTTCTTCTTCTTCTTCTCTTTCTTCTTCTTCTTCTTCTTCTTCTTCTTCTTCTTCTTCTTCTTCTTCTTCTTCTTCTTCTTCTTCTTCTTCTTCTTCTCTCTTCTTCTTCTTCTTCTTCTTCTTCTTCTTCTTCTTCTTCTTCTTCTTCTTCTTCTTCTTCTTCTTCTTCTTCTTCTTCTTCTTCTTCTTCTCTTCTTCTTCTTCTTCTCTTCTTCTTCTCTTCTTCTTCTTCTTCTTCTTCTTCTTCTTCTTCTTCTTCTTCTTCTTCTTCTTCTTCTTCTTCTTCTTCTTCTTCTTCTTCTTCTTCTTCTTCTTCTTCTTCTTCTTTCTTCTTCTTCTTCTTCTTCTTCTTCTTCTTCTTCTTCTTCTTCTCTTTTTTCTTCTTTCTTCTTCTTCTTTCTTCTTCTTCTTCTTCTTCTTCTTCTTCTTCTTCTTCTTCTTCTTCTTCTTCTTCTTCTTCTTCTTCTTCTTCTTCTTCTTCTTCTTCTTCTTCTTCTTCTTCTTCTTCTTCTTCTTCTTCTTCTTCTCTCTTCTTCTTCTTCTTCTTCTTCTTCTTTCTTCTTCTTCTTCTTCTTCTTCTTCTTCTTCTTCTTCTTCTTCTTCTTCTTCTTCTTCTTCTTCTTCTTCTTCTTCTTCTTCTTCTTCTTCTTCTTCTTTCTTCTTCTTCTTCTTCTTCTTCTTCTTCTTCTTCTTCTTCTTCTTCTTCTTCTTCTTCTTCTTTTCTTCTTCTTCTTCTTCTTCTTCTTCTTCTTCTTCTTCTTCTTCTTCTTCTTCTTTTCTTCTTCTTCTTCTTTTCTTCTTTTTTCTTCTTCTTCTTCTTCTTCTTTCTTCTTCTTCTTCTTCTTCTTCTTCTTCTCTTCTTCTTCTTCTTCTTCTTCTTCTTCTTCTTCTTCTTTCTTCTTCTTCTTCTTCTTCTTCTTTCTTCTTCTTCTTCTTCTTCTTCTTCTCTTCTTCTTCTTCTTCTTCTTCTTCTTCTTCTTCTTCTTCTTCTTCTTATTCTTCTACTTCTTCTTCTTCTTCTTTTCTTCTTCTTCTTCTTCTTTTTCTTCTTTTCTTCTTTTTCTTCTTCTTCTTCTTCTTCTTCTTCTTCTTCTTCTTCTTCTTCTTCTTCTTCTTCTTCTTCTTCTTCTCTCTTCTTCTTCTTTCTTCTTCTTCTTCTTCTTCTTCTTCTTCTTCTTCTTCTTCTTCTTCTT